TTTTAGAGTCAGCCCTAGATCTCTCTTAGAAGCGACCACACTTCACACTCACTTAGGTCAGTTATTAGTATGCACTGCTCACACTGTTCCTAACTGATTAAGAGCCTCATGCTCAACCTCCTCAATCTGCAGTGAGTACTACCTTACCTCAGCATCTGAAATGGGACACAAATGATAGTGCTTTCCCAAGTCATCTAGTGACTCGTTTTTACCCATTCAACCTAATTCTAGGGATCTCCTTTCACATAGGTTGGGTGTTCATCACTAATGACTTTGTAACGGGCTTCAGCCTCATTCCTACTGATGCTTCATAAACCACCTTAAAGGTTTGTGGTTTGGTTAACGAATCTGCAAGGTTCTTTTCAGACCTTACAAAATTCAGAGCGGTCGTACCTTCGCTGATGTATTGTCTTATCAGGTTATGCCTTAAGAGGATGTGCCTCTTTTACCGTTGTATGTCTGGTTTTTTGCTCTGGCTATTGCTGCTTGGCTATCACAATGGAGAGATATGGACAGAACCGGCCACGGCCAAAGTGGTATATTTGCTAGCAAGTTCCTTAGCCACTCTGCCTCAGACCCCGTCAATTCTAGTGCAATGAACTCGGCCTCCATTGTTGAACTTGTATTGCATGATTGCTTTAATGATTTCCACAATACTATTCCTCTACCTAGAGTAAGCACATATCCACTGGTGGAAGTATCATTTGAATCTGAAATCCAATTCGCATCAGTAAAGCTTTCTAAAACAGGAGGAAAACCTGAGTAATGTAAACCAAAGTTTATGGTTCCTTTTAAATATTTTAATAATCTTACTAAAGCTTCCCAATGTTCATTTCCGGGATTATGAGTATACTAACTTAATTTTCCCACATCTATAGCTATGTCTGGTCTTGTACAGTTCATTAAATAAGATACAGATCCAATTATACTTGCATACTCCTTTTGTGAAACAGGTTCTCCTATATATTTCTTTAAGTGAATACTACAGTCAAGAGGTGTTTTAACCGGCTTACAATCATAGTGTCCAAATTTCCTAAAAATACTCTCTACATAATGTGATTGGGAGAGAATAAAGTTTCCTTGTTTTTTATGGATTTTAATCCCCAAGATTACATCAACTTCATTCAAGTCCTTGGTATCAAATTTGGACATTAGAAATTGTTTCGTTTCTTTTATTACCTCTAGACTAGTTTCTATTATTAGCATATCATCAACATATAGACAGATCATGACTTCTTTATTATTTTCAAATTTGTCATAGACACATTTATCAGAATCATTTATGCTATATCCATTAGTTATTAAAACATTATTAAATTTTTCATGCCATTTTTGGGAGCTTGTTTTAAGCCATACAGAGACTTAACTAATTTACATACTTTATTTTCTTGTCTTGCCATTATGAAGCATTTAGGTTGCCTAATGTAAATTTCTTCCTCTAATTCCCCATTTAAGAAAGTTGTTTTCACATTCATTTGGTGAACTACCAGTTTATAAATGGATGCTATAGCAAACAAAACCCTAATTGTTGTTAATCTTGCAACTGGGGAGTAGGTGTCAAAAAAGTCTACATCTTTCTTTTGTCTGAACCCCTTAGCGACTAACCTGGCCTTGAATTTATCTATTGTGCCATCTGGTTTTAGTTTTTTCTTAAAAATCCACTTACAATCTAGTGCCTTAGTTCTAGGTGGGAGATCTACAAGTTCCCAAGTGTGATTAGTGACTAAGGAGTCTATTTCACTTTTTATGGTTTTTTTCCAAAATACTGCATCAAGTGAAGTTACAGCTTCCTGATAGGTTATTGGGTCATTGTCCACCAGAAATGTGAACATTTCGTCACCCAAGTTTGTTCCTCTTCTTTGTCTTTTACTTCTCCTTAAATCTAGGTCTTGCCTAAGTGAAGTACTAGTTTCTTGAGCATTCACTTGTTCTTGGTTTCTAACTTGGTTTTGGGAAGGTTCCCTATTTAATGTTTCTTTTTTCCAATGAAAGATGTGCTCAAAGAACTCTACATCTCGGGACTCTATTATTATGTTATTTTCGACAACATTTTCAATTGTTTTAATTACAAGAAACTTATAAGCCGCACTGTTTTGTGCATAGCCAATGAACGCACAGTCACAAGTTTTCGATCATAATTTCTTTCTTTTAGGTTCAAGTATTCCAACATTTGCTAGGTTTCCTGTTATGCCAAAGTTCAAAGGGAATCTGTCATTTCTTCTTATGTGGTATTCTATTATATAAGTGAGCTGAACTAATTAACATTGCATTCATCATTAGGATTGCTTCCACCCACTTATATAATAGAATACCACATATTATATAAGTGGTATTCTATTGCCGTAACATTGCATTCATCATTCAGCCTTATGTAGTATTCCAACGTTAGGATTGCTTCCACCCACAAATTCAAAGGTGCACCTGAACTAATTAACATTGTATTCATCATTTCTTTTAGTGTTCTATTAAGTCTTTCTGTAACTCCATTAGATTCAGGTTGATAGGGAGCTATAGTTTCACGTATGATTCCATTTTCTTCAAAGAATTTTCTAATGATTTATCTATCATACTCAGTTCCTCTATCTTTTTATTTTCTTTCCTAACTGATTTTCTACTTCAATTTTATAGTTTATGAAAACTTGATCAGCCTCATCTTTTGATCTAAGTAGAACTACTTTTGCATATCTAGAGAAGTCATCTATAAATGTTATATAGTATCTTTTTCCTCCTCTAGCTTCATAACATTTAAGGTCTCCTAGATCACTATGTATAAGTTGTAACAACTCAGTTTCTCTTTGTACACTTTTATGAGGTTTCTTAGTAAATTTTGATTCTACACATACTTGGCATTTTTCATTTGTAAAGTTAATAGGAACATTCAAAACTCCTAATTTACATAAATGTTTTAAATAAGGAGCACTACGATGTGCTAGTCTAGCATGCCAAATATCAAAAGATTCAAAATATAAGCAGAAGAAGAAGCAGTTTTATTTATAATAATATCATAGATGTTCAGTACAAATAATCCACCAGCATTGCACCATTTTCTAATAAATACATTGTTTTTAGTCAACACAGCCTTGTCTGCTTCAAATGTGAGTTTCAGTCCTAGTTTGTTGAGTGCTCCCAATACCAACTTCCGTCGGATCTCCGGTACATGTAGTACATCATTCAGCATTAGGATTTTTCTTGAAGTTAGTTTTAGGAGCACATTTCCTTTGCCGATGACCTTCGAAGTTTGTGAGTTTCCCATGAAAACTTGCTCTCCTTCAGACAGAGTTGTATACTCATAAAAGGAATTGCGGTCTCCACAGATGTGCTTGGTAGCACTAGTGTCTAGTACCCACTCCTTTGGCTTATCAATTAAGTTTACCTCAATTACCATTACTGCGATAACATCCTCAGTCAAATTGACTTTCGGTTTCACAGAGTCCTTCTTTCGGTACCAGCAATCCTTCTTGTAATGTCCGGGTTTCCCACATACATAGCAGTTTCCTTTCTTTTGTTGTTTCTTGAATTTCTAATCATTTTTCACATTCAAGTTCTTTTTGAATTTTGTAGTTTTTTCCTCCACTAGATTGGTTTTGGAAAGCTGGTCCTCATCTTTCTTTCTATTCTTTTCTTCTATCTTAATTCGGACCACTACTTGGTCCGAAGTAGTGTCATTTCTCTTGTGTTTCATACTGGTCTTGAAATCATTCCATGTATGTGGCAGTTTCTTTATGAGAGAACTAGCAATGAATTCATCTGACAATACCATGCCTTCCTTTGCTAGTTCCCCCACAAGAACTTGGAACTCATCTATTTGAGCAGACACATCCATGTCTTCTTTCATAGTGAAGTGCAAGAAGTTGGCAATTACATATTTCTTATTTCCGGCATTTTCTATAGCATACTTAATGTCCAATGCATTCTAGATTTCATAGGCATAATTATAGGAAGAATAAACATTGTATAGTTCATTGGACAAGCAGTTTAGGATATGGTTGGTGTAGAGGTGGTCGGCTGTAGTCCAATGTTCTGCAACAACAGAACGGGCTGGTTCCTCCATATTTAATGGGTTTGGTTCAGTCAAAGCGAAAGCCTGTAGTTGGTTCCATTGAATGGTTCAATTTTAGAAAAATTGGGAACTGTTGATAGTATCCGGTTCCTCATGAAGGGGTTAGCAGAGATAGGTTCCATAAATATGGTTTTAAGAATGTTGTAAAAATAGTAAAGAGAGCAAATGGAACTTATTAGTAATCACTTTCCAAACCAAAGTTGCAGTGATGTGAAGTTGTTGCAGGAACTCAAAACTAGGAATTGCAGGAAGATGGAGGGCTGAGTCATGCCACTTGGTCACTCTCCTTAAAACTGTATTTTCCCCCTATGGTGCTACCAGGTGATCGCAAACCGATCGCCAAGATAAAATAGCCCACAGGCCACTAGTAGGCGTGCACTCGCTTACCAGACCTCTGCGAACCACTAAAGATTGATGCTCAGATTTCTCAAAGAAAATAATGTCGAAAATGGTGTGTGTGTGTGTGTGTGTGTGTGTGTAAAGACTGGGTCAGCCAGCACTCTTCTTATAGAGTGCTCTCAGACCCGAATGGACACAGATGTGTCCTTTCAGACAGGACCTGTTTGAAGAGGAACAAAAAAAGAAAACAATTTATTTAAAAATTAAATTTGAATTTGAAGAGCTCGGCGCGTGAAAAGAACTCCCAACCCCCTCTCACATGCATGGAATATCTATAGTCATCTCCTCCCTACCCATAGATGGAGCAAAACTACAAATATACTCCACTCCCACTCCTTTCCCAAGCAATGTGGGACAAGGAGTCATTCAAGGGAGGAAAGGACAAAAACAAGAGAGGAGGAGAGAGATTTTTGTAAATTTGAATCTCCCTCCAACAATCAAATATGTGATTTCCTTCTTTCCTTTTCTGGTTTTAGATGGTATCAGAAGACTCTTCCACATGAAACCCTGTTGAAGCTGTGTTTACAACGATGAATGCAAGATGACTCTAGAGACCAAAAGCAATTGCAGCAGTGAGAGATTCACATATCTCTTCTCTCCATATTACCTCCATCCATCCGACGACCCTAGTACCGCCTTAGTCTCCTGCCTGTTAACGGGAGAGAATTATCAGACATGGAGGCGTGTAATGATCAACACGCTCAACGCCAAAAATAAAGCTGGATTTGTGGATGGAACGATAAAAAAATCAGATCGTTCGAAGACGATGGAATGGCTAGCATGGTCGAAATGCAATTCAATGGTGATATCTTGGATTTTCAATGCACTCGTCCAAGAATTACATCAAAGTATCGCCTATATATGTCGAGAATGCCAAGATCTCGAACAACATTTTTCTCAAGGCAATGCCCCTCGGATCTTCCAGTTAAAGAGAAATATTGCACTCTTGAAGCAAGATGATCTTGTAGTTGTCTATTACACGAAGATGAAGGGGATATGGGACGAACTCGCTACTTTCTCAAGGGCTCCAACCTGTTCATGCGGAGGTGCTGCGAAAGAATTCATTGTCGAAAAAGAAAATGAATACGTATTTCAATTTCTTGTTGGTTTAAATGAGAGATTCACTCCTATCAGGTCCAGCATTCTTGGCATGGAACCTCTACCGGACATCACCAAAGTCTATGCATTAGTGTCCCAAGAAGAAAATTATCAAGAATTAGCAATCCAACAAGCATCGACAGTAGAGGCAGTAGCCATGAATGTAGCAGCACAACCACAAGGTGGAAACTTCAAGAATAGCAATGGCAAGCCTAAACTACGGTGCAATCACTGTAAGAAACAGGGACACACCAAAGACCATTGTTATGAGATTTTTGCATACCCACCAAACTGGGAAACCAGGGGGAGATCAAAAGGAAAAGCTCCATTGAAGACAAATAATTCTAAACCTGGGTCTACCAATCCAAATACAGAAGTCTCACCTATCAATGGACTCTCCCATTTGAACAATACCGACAGTTGATTGACCTTCTCAATGGTGGAAAGCCCAATATCTCCAACTTTGCAGGTACAGTTAACTGGTTCATGAATTCTGATATTTGGTTATTAGATAGTGGTGCGATTGATCACATGGCACCTTTTCATTCTGAGCATCATACTAATAACCAATCCAGTATCAGACCTATTCAATTGTCGAATGGAACATAACTACCCGTTCAATCCAGAGGCAATGTGTCTCTATGTCCTGAACTTAGCTTGCAAAATGTATTGTTCATTTCTGGTTTCCACTACAATTTGGCATCCATTAGCAAACTCACGTCACAGTTTAACTGTGCTACCATATTTTTCCCAACTTTCTGCGTTTTGTAGGACTTGACCTCCAAGAGAGTGATTGGGGTGAGTCTACTGCGTGATCGACTATACTACCTGACACCAGCGAGCTCAATGGTGGCTCTGCAAACTCATGTTGAATCTTCTGGTTTGTGGCATACAAGACTTGGCCATGCCTCTTATGATCGGTTAGCCTTCATCAAAGATCTTCACATTACTATACCTGCTACTGTATGTTGTGATACTTGTATGCGTGCAAAGCAAACTCTCCTGTCTTTTCCCATTAGGAATCCTAGATCAACATGCATTTTTTCTTATTTCATTGTGATATATGGGGGAGCTATAATTAAGACACCATCCCTCTCAGGGGCATGGTACTTCCTAACAATTGTTGATGACTTCCACATGGATGTATCTATTGAAGACCAAATCTGAAGCCTATACATATCTTGTCATGTTGTGTACCATGGTCAATACTCAATATGATAGCAAGATTCAATGTGTTCGATCTGACAATGGTTCGGAATTCTTATCTAGTCCTATGAAGAATTTCTTAGCTGAACATGGTATCATGCAACAAACCTCATGTGTAGATACCCCACAACAGAATGGGGTGGTGGAAAGAAAGCATCGACACCTCTTAGAGATTGGAAGAGCCCTACGATTTTAGGCCAAATTACCAATAAAGTTTTGGGGAGAATGCATTTTTACTGCATTTTATCTTTCCACACCCATTGAAATTTTACAAGGCCAAGCACCTTCTTATGCACACTTTCCAACCTTTGGCTGCCTCGCCTATGCTACTACAACTCGCCATGGTCGTGATAAATTTGCCTCTCGATCTAGGTGATATACCTTTCTTGGTTACCCTCATTGACAAAAGGGGTACAGACTTCTTGATACAACTTTTCGTCTCATGAGATGTCGAGTTTTCTCAAGATGAATTCCCTTTTTTATTGAAAGTAAACAAGATGATAAACCATTGGACTTTGTTACACACTCGCTAGTTATTCCAGCACTAGCATTAGACGATGGCTTTAATATTTTCACCCATAAAGACTTAGGACACTCAAATATTACTAAAACCACTGGGTCACTCACATATGATGTACTCGTTGCAGCTAAGCCCATGGTGCCCATCACACCTGAATCTGAACCCATACCGATTACCGCCAACTCGCCATCCATCATGCCTGTATTAGACCCTCCTAATCAGCCTATTCACAATAAACGTATTCTAGCCCATCTTGCTGATTACGTTTGTCCAACCATTTAGTCCAATAATGGCCCACATGCTTCATCCACTTCTCACCCTATCTCCAAGTTTCTCCATTCAAGTGCCACTGTCCATCTTGAGCCTACCATATGTAATGATATAAGCATGCCTAGAAAGGTGAACGATGGAGACAATCAATGGCAGTAGAATTATTGGCTCTTGAAAATACTTACACATGGACTCTAATAGAACTTTCACCCGGCAAAAAGCCCACCAGCGGTGCAGATGGGTTTACAAGGTCAAATATAATCCAGATGGCACAATTGAGTGCTACAAAGTATGACGGGTTGCAAAGGGATATTCACAAGCCAAAGAGATTGATTACACTGAAACCTTTGCTCCTGTTGTAAAATTAGCAATGGTGTGTTGTTTACTCGCTCTTGCAGCAACACGAGGCAGGGAACTTCACCAAATGGACGTGAACGCTTTTTTTCATGGCTCTTGATGAGGACGGATTTGGCCCCCCAGTGAAATTATGACACCTGACACCTCATACCAAATAAGTGCAGCCTCTTGACAACTAGACAGGTCGAGTTAGCTACAGGCAGCTCGGCACAGGTAGCTCACCACTTACAGGCAACTCGGCATAGGCAGTTCGCCATAGGTAGCTCACCACTTATAGGCAGCTCGGCATAGGTAGCTCACCACTTACAGGCAGCTTGGCATAAGCAGCTCGCCACAAGTAGCTCACCACTTATAGGCAGCTCGGCATAGGTAGCTCGCCACAGGCAACTGGCCACTTATAGGCAGCTCGCCACAGACAGCCTGACATCTTACGAATAGCTCGGGTAGAAGCACCTCGGCACATTACCGGTAGTTCGGTGAAAAGCAGCTCGATGCAAGGTAGCCCGTTGTAGAGCAGCTCAGCGTATCGTAGGAAGATTTCCTACTTGACAACCGTACCTACCAAATCTGGAGACTGCTCCCACGACTCTAGCCAAGCGGCGTCGTGCCTGCTAGTCCCTGACAAGCGTCCCCTGTCTGGCAGGGCCGTACCCTGCAACGGTTACCTGCACCCACCAGCTCAGCCCTGGCAAGTAACGGTTGCGACAAAGAATCAAAGGCGGTTACGCCAGATCTGTCAGAACATCGCTATATAAGAGCTCCAACCCCCCAGAGGGGAGGGGGATGAAAAATAGAGGTAACCCCTGCTCTCTAGCTCTCTGATTTCTCTAATATCATCTTCAAGCTCTCTACTATCAGAGTGCTAACTTAGCCATCGGAGTGGCCCCGCCGAGTAAACACCCCCGGGTCCTCTAATTCAGTTCTCGTATGTTCATCGGCTTCCACCATCTACAAAGAGGAGCAGATCATCTCATGCTGAGGACAGTCGGGTTGCACTACACTAGGAGGCTCGCCACCAAGGCAGCGCACCCAACAGTTCATCAAGGTAACTCACCACTAGGGAGCTCGTCACCAAGTAGCTCACCACTAGGGAGTTCGTCACCAAGTAACTCACCACCAGGGAGTTCGCCACCAAGTAGCTCACCACCAGGCAGTTCGCCACCAGGGAGCTCAATCATTCTCTGAGTCACAGGCCACCTGGGAATAGGTCAAATGACGAAGTACTTAACCAAAAATTGATACATCACGAAAAAAAATTGGTACGTGACCAGAAACGGTTACATCAACTCTCTTCAGGAAGAAGTATACACGATTCCTCCTCTTGGGATGCTACCGCCAGCAGACATGTATGCAAATTAAACAAATCAATTTATGGGCTTAAAAGCAAGCATCACATAATTGGTTTAAAACATTGGCTTGCGCGCTCAAACAACATGGCTTCCATCAGTCATTGGCAAACAACACACTATTCACTATGAGCAGCTCCAATTCATTTCTAGCTGTTTTTGGCATACGTCAATGGCCTTGTCATAGCCGGGGACAATCTTAATGCCATTAATGATCCCAAGAATTATCTCAGCAATTGTTTTTTATATTGGACATTCTTCAAGAAGCAGGCATGTTAGGCTGTAAACCCAGCCCCCTTCCAATGGAACAACATCATCGCGCCTAGTTGGTCCCCCTTCTAATGGAAATAACATCTTAGACTAGAATCTAGACCTCCACTAGACAATCCCGCTTAGTTAGTCACCTCATTTACTTAACCATCACAAGACCGGAGCTCAGCTATGCAGTACACACACTCAGCCAGTTTATGGGTGACCCTCGACAACGCCATCTTGATGCTGCCATGCATGTACTTCGATACCTCAAATCAACTCCTGAGCACGGCATTCTACTCTCCAACAGCGATCTGATTTTAAGGGCCTACTGTGACTCAGATTGGGCAAACTGTCCCTCCACCCGACGGTTCAACTACTGGCTACATTTCTTTTCTTGGTTCATCCCCACTATCTTGGAAAACCAAGAAACAACCGATAGTCTCTCGTGCCTCGGCAAAAGCAAAGTACTGCACCATGGCTACTACCACTAGCGAGCCCCTTTGGCTAAAACGATTGTTTACTGATTTGGGACTCATTCTCAACCCATGCTATCTATGACACATCAGTTCTCGCTGGCTGACATATTTACTAAGGCATTAGGAAGATATCACTTTCATTCTTTGCTCTCCTATAGTTGGGCATCCATGCTCCAAATTGAGAGGGAGCATTAAAGTCTTACAAAACAGTTACACGGTTAGAATATAGAATACCGACTCCACTCCACTGTCGTACTCTAAATATTCATCATACAATGAATCAAATATACGATTTCCTTCTTTTCTGGTTTTAGAATATACGAAAACCCATCCTTTTCTTTAAAGAAATAAATTTTGTGCCTGCTCCCAATCCCACCATCCGCTTTCAGGCAACGCTACCGAAAGCCTGCTAGAGCCAAGTGTACCTAAAGGCAGCATTGTTAGAAGGCAGTAGGCACAATTCCAACTGATTTCTATTAATGTCCCTTAGATGTGTTTAAACTTTAAAGACTAGAAAAACAAGGCTTTTACAGATGGAAGGCAGAGTCATTCAAACCGATCTGCATGGAATTGCACATGGTAGAACAAAACTATTTTGTTATAACAGGAATTACAAGTTACAATCTTGCATAACCGGCAGGATAAAAAGGGGCGAATTCACATAAGCTAACATAGCATTATAGAAAATTTTTGTAGTATACATGCTAGTATTGGTTCTTCGCTCTTGCATGGGCAGCCTCCCCTGTACTCAGATAGGAAAAAAAGCCTTTCTGGAGTTTGTGGAGTGTCAAAATAGTTACCTCAATAGATCTGAGCGGATTCAGCCCTTTTAGGAAATATTTAGATCTATTCTGCTGGCTAAACATAGATTTTTGGTACATAAGGAGAAGTTTAAATTAAGTACGTGATTAGATGACATAAAGCTATCAAAAGATTCAAAACTATTGCATTCCGTCATATATCTGGCAAGAGGTAAAATATAAGAAACCATTATATTGCCAGACCAACTGTAAAGCTCCAAAATGTTAAAAGATTCCTAACAAGCTAAACAATGAACAATGGAAAAACGGATTTTGCATTCATATACCTACTTGCTAAAGCAGGAGAAAAGCTTTTTGAAGAATGCAACTAATGGCTCTTGATGTTCACAGTGCACTTAGATTGACGTCTGCATCCTAGAGAACCTTATAGTTAAATGAAGCACTTGTTTTTAGTAATAAGATCAACTGAACCCAAACGCCCATGTAGACAAACACAGACACAAAAAAAGGAATGGAGGATTTTTCAGCTTCTGAATTTGCTCTCCTGCAATGTTGACCTTCACTTGAGGAAATGAGGATTAATCAACCCTGAGATCTCAAGAAACCCCACACGCTCTCTCCCTCCAAATATGGTCTTCAGCTTCTCATCACACACTACAATCTTTTTGTTTTCAGGATCCTGGAGTAAGCACATAAAATAAATCAGTACATAAATTCATCAAGGCAACTCGTAGTGTACATGTTAAGTGCATGCGGAGAAGAAAAATAGATGCTAATAGTGAAAAGGAGCATAAAGTGGTGCACCTTTGGTGGCATGAGACATGTTCTGCTGAACAGGGATTAAGCAAAACAGCCCATTGAGGTATGACATGTGAAACAAATGAATATCTAGCACGCATCCTCGACAATATCTTTTCCTCATTAATGTTTCTAGATAGGAAGAATGAAATTCTACACTTATTTATGCCACTCAACTCTCAATATGTACCAGAAGGTTGAACTCATAAGATATCCAATTGTTTTGTAGCAAACGTCTGGCATACACCCTGGATAATATCTTCTTATCGTTAATGTTTCTAGATAGGAAGAATGGAATTCTACATTTATCTATGCCACTCAACACTCTATATGTATCAAAAAGTTGGATTGATAAGATATCCAATTGTTTTGTAGCAAATACTTGTTCCCACCTCTCATAGATGTCCATAAATCCATGTGTTTCTCAACTCAATGAGTAAGACTCACTAAAAACAAGTCAGATTCCAACTCCTGTGTCTGTATCCAAGCAAAACCAATTGATACCAATAGCAGAATAGTCCTAATGCCTCTATTTGCCACTGATTGATTACGATATCAAGTTTTCTAATTTCAGAGAAGAAACATGCATCTTGCATGGTGAAACCAATAAGAAAAACATTTGTGTTAGACAGTTTTGTATGCCCTTAGCTCCAATCAGTTTTGATGTACTTTAGACATTTAGTGTAAATGAATAAAGTGCATGTTTGATTCATGTTATGTGGTATGTTTCTGTGTAAGACTCTTAAATTGGACACTTAATGAGACTCGTGTTAGTTTAGAATGTTCACAGCCGTTGGATAAGTCTGGGGAGATTTATCCTGCCAAGGCTAACACTGGTGTGCTGCCAAATGTTGGGGTGGTCTGTCTCAGCCGCCAGGGTGAGACCCAAGGCACATGCAATGTAGGATTACTTGAATCTTTGAACCGAACCAGATTTTCAGTATTGCCCTGGACCTTAGAGATTGATGGGCAAAACTGGAAAGTTACACCTGACCTTTAGACTCGATTATGATACAGCACTAGGCATCGGATTGGGCTGTCTTTGATATGCCAATCAGTGAGATCCTTAACGGGAGTCAAAACCTGGGTATGTTGGGACAGCCTGAGAATTCATCTGAGTGGATGATCATAGTGACAGGATCAGCCCCTTTGTCGGACAAAGGTAATGATCGAGGATGCACTCTCTCTGATGGAAACCAAACTACCGGTAGTTGATTTCAATCGTTGGAATTTTGTTCTGCAAAATTTATATATATATATATGGTTTCAAAATGTTTGCAAATGGTTTTAATTCTCGGGATCCATGTGAGCAGAGAGTGCAACACTGTTCCTTGCAGTCGAGGGAGAGGTCCTCTATTGTCAGACAGTGTTTGATCATTATGGGTTGAGAGGTCAAGTGTAAAGCCATTTAGGGTTGTACCTGATGGGCTAATCTTGCATCTGCCCATAGTCCCTGGGTTTTTATAAGATGGCTTGGCCCAGGGACCACTTAGTGCAAGTGTTGGGCCCATCGAGTCCATGTGATGGGCTCAAGGGGTTTACTGAGCTCTCCAGTGAATTCGGCTAGGCCTTGTAACAAGGGTTGGGCCGAACCCATGTGGCTAATGTGTAGATCAATGCTTGGGTCCCACGCCATACCAAGAAGCCCAACTGGGCAGCAGTTCGAACTGGGCTGATTTGATCAGTCACTTAAAGGGGCGGATCTGAGATTAGGTCAAGCCAAAAGGATCAGGTCTTAACTCTATCCACTCATGGAGACCAAATTCAAATTAGGATTTGAATATGGTAACCTCCTGATAAGATCAAGAGTGGGCTGGTATAATCTGCAGATAGGATTAAGAAGACTCCTTATCCAAATACAGATTTGGATTAGGATAACTCCTAATGGGATTAGGAGGTTTCTTAATCACTAAGAAAGAAAGAGGAGAAACCCTAATTCGAATTACAAGAATTCAAACCTTAAGGGAATTCGCAGAGAACACTGCAATTTAGAGATTGGATCTCAGAGAAACCCTAGAGAGGAGAAAGCGGTTCGCTACCTTCTTCTCTAGTCTTCTCCTCCAGCAGCCGCCGCCGCCATCTACTGCCAGCTCGATATCTCTGTGAGGGAAAAGATCAAGAAAGCTTCTTGATATCAGTCTTTGCTGAAAGACTGATCATGTGTAATGCTCATTGCTTCCATCGAGTTCTTCAGAAGGACCTGGTTCGTGGAACGAACACTGATGGTTCTGCTCCATCATCACTATGTCATCTTTAGTGAGAGCGGGCGGTTCTTGGAAGTTTCTTTGGGCGTGAACACCAACATTGGGAGATACTGTTTCTCCAGATCTGGTTCGGTTTTGGTTCAAGTTAGATCCTTGAATACTGTATTCCAAATATAGGGAATGTGATCCCCAGTTGGAAGAAAGGTAAGAAATTTTTTGAAATTCGCCCACCCATTCCGCACCCTTTTTGGCGTCCATATGATGGATCTTACCATTCTTTCAGTTGCAACAGTAGGAACAAAATGTATAAGCGTAATTATTAGTTCCTTCTGCATAACTTTAGATGAAGATTTCCACAAGGCTGTGTTTGGTTTGAAGGAAAAAGTAGGGAAAGAAAGGGAAAGGTAGGGAAACCTTTACAAACCTTGTATAAGTTTCCCTACCTTTCCCTACTTTTTCCTTCAAACCAAACATAGCCTAAAGAAATTAGAAGAAAAGGTCACTCTGACGAATATACAATGGCTAAATTCCAAAATAGTCAACCAAAGTGATACTAGTGTGGAACCCAAAAAGGGACCATGTTGTCCATAAAACTCTAACAATGTCAAGTGATAAGCATTTAATAGATTCAGACTAACATGAAAAGTTCAAATATATTATAAAACTAGAATCCTTCAGAAAGAAAAACAGCAGTTTATTTTTTTGGTCGATTCTCTTTATGTCTGTTTTTATGATTTGGAGCTTGGAGGCTAGTTGTTCCTGGGCATGATTGGTCTTCGTGATTTACTCAGAGGGGGAGGGGTGGGAAATGAAACTGCACAGTTTCTCAAGAAAGGAAGAAAAATTAAAAGAAAAAAAAAGGAAAACTAAATTCAGCAGAAGGGTGAATGCAAACAAGTAGAATAAATATAGAACTAGAAGACAATTCAAAATTTATAAAATTTGAAACAATGCTACAACAGGAAAATCTGACCCATGCTCTTCAAGATGAAAACGATTCCTAGTAAGTCATATTCAAACATGTTGAGTCCGCACCCCAGATAAAATCAACATACAAGAGTGCAAAAGGTTAAGAAAAATGGTAGTGTAGGTACAATAGATAAGACATAATGTTAGATTGGTTTTGAATGTGACTGAACAGACCAAGTTCATACATACAAAAGTGCAAGCAAAAGGGGAAAAGAATAACAAATAAAAACCAGTTGAAATGAAGGTAACTTATGCTTCCAATCCTTTGCGGAAACGAGGAACCCAACAAAATGCAACGTTGTCCAGCTATGGAAACATCCCGAACAAAACGCAAACCATTTAAACATATCAAACAAGTAGTTGGTCGTAACTTAAAAAATGGAGGGAAGGGGAGACTCACTAGGAGACAGTGGCATGTGAAGTTATTGAACATATACAACCTTATCCAGGATTAAAAAAATAAAAAAGAAAAGAAAAGAGGAATCTCCTACGCAAATCCCCAAATGTAGTCTAAACATAGAACCAGATGGATATATTCAAAGAAGAACATAACAGACATGACAGTAATAAGATAATACATTTGTACTCTCATTCATACTGCAGGAGAGGGAAAGCAAGTAAAGAAGGATGGACCTGGAGATTGTGCTCCTTGATGTAAGCCCAAATCTGTTTGAGGGCTTGGGTGCGAGGGATCTCCGGGACACCGAGAAGCGCTTGCATTGCTGGAGAGATTGGTTTGGGCTTGGTGATACCCCTGGGCTCTCGTTTCTTAGTTGTTGCAGGCTTGGAAGAAGCGGCACAGGTTACGAAGCGAACCATGCGCTGGTTGGCAAGGGAAGGAGAATGAGAAGGAGCGAGGCGGAGAGTCGATGAAGACTTAGCCCCAATCGATTCTCTGGCTAAAAAGCTCGAGCAACAATACCCCAACGACATGGACATTTTCTATATTTCCTTTTTGTTCTGCAGACGCACTTAAATAAGCAAAATACCGTCTACTTCTCCCTTTCCCTTCTCTCTCACAGTATAAGAAGCAGAAGCAGATGGATAGGAGAATTGGAAGGATTTGTTTGTGAAAACAGAGAGCCCGCCCTTGTGGTATAACAGATAGAACCAAGGAGACAAAGGAGGATTGGAGGATTGAGAAAGATATTATGGATGGAGATATGCAGACATGTGACACAAGGTCCCAATCTCGTACTCCCTACTCACATCTATCCATTGGATACTGAACAAATCCATATTTGATTGGGCCTCGATGAATAGATTCTTCGAGAACATGGAATAACGTGGATTAATATCCACCGTAGACTGGAAAGCTCCCTCTTTTCCCATAAAAACTGAAGTGATGTCAACGGTGAATTAAGTTCTTTCTTCTCACTTTCTCGGATTAGTTTCTTTTATTAAAAACAATAGCCGATTAGCCGTTCAAGTTTCTTTTATTAATTTTGAATTAACGTATAAAATGACATTTTGACACGTGGCGAGCATTTGGTCTGAAAGGTGGACATAAATATAGACCAGAAAGAAAATATACGTTCCATGGTGCCACGTAGAAGATGCCCGAATGGCTCATGCCTTGGCCCACCATCTTGAAGCATTTTAGGGGTTGATTTTGGCAAATTAGAAAAAAAAAAGCATTTATTTAAAAGAAAAAAAAAAAAGAAAGAAGCATCTTGCCTTGGCTACATGGGTCCGAGAAATCTGGCAATTGCTCTATTATACCGGAAATACAAGATATATAAAAAAATTTTATGACCAATATATAATTATAAACTTGAAATGTGGTATTTATCAAATTTACAGATGGATTTTGATTGGCCAAAGCTCTTCGGGCACCATGTCTTTCTGCATCATATATTTCATTTCAGCTTTTCTTTTTTATCATGATCATGTTTGGGTGAGATTTGAGATGTGAGTTGGTTCGGTTTCAAATTAATACTTAGAATTCATCATCTAAGGGTCTGTTTGGTTTTTAGTATCAAAACCTATCATGTTGAGATCATAGGCTCTAACGTTGGTTCTAGTTTTGATGGTTCTGACCTCAGTTCCAAAGTCAACATATGGAACTTGTTTTTTCCTGCTTAAGGAAAAATAATAATAAATAAAGCATATGAGTGTCTAAAAATATGGTCCTTAATTACTTTGGGTATAAGAATAGGAGAGCAAGTCGGGCTGGGTTCTATCTGGTTGAGTCAACCCTAACCCAATATATTGTTCGAACCTAATCTTAATTTTAGTCAAATTCTAAATTCATTTAGGCTTCGTTCTCTTTTCGATAAGTTATATACCTGAGTAAAAGCAGTTGTTTGAGTAAGTTTTTCCTGGTAACACTTACCCAGGTAAGTGCATTTACCCATGTTCTTTTATTTATCATGTAAATAAGGCAATGACCATTTTAGCCATAAGAATCCATTATTAAAAAAGAGCATTTTTGTCCCATTCAAGTGTTAGCAACTTTCCCCCTAGGTGGGAAAGTTATTTACCCACTGGGAGATGGGTTACCCAAGAAAATAAACTTTCCTTACTCCTCACATAAATCTGAAAAAAAAAAAAAAAAAAAAAAACATGAGATTCTTGGTCAATGAGAACCAAAATCTCATTGACCAACTTTCCCCCCTCTCAAAATCTAAAAAAAAAACACCCCTTTAGGTTCGAATTGACCTAATTACTTCACTTCTTTTTGCTTAAATTTTATCTTGAAAACACACTTTAGCATTATTATATATATAAAGATATGGTAACAAAGGAAACATGCAGTAATTTTTATTTTATAGATAAATACATTAGCTGATGTATGGTACAGGCATACACGCATGCCTGCATATTATGTACATGCAAATATGAAGAGATGTGTTTGGATTGCCCCAATGCCTCATCCTTGATCCAACCAGAAATTAAGTTAAGTTGTTAATCCTACCCTGAACTTCAACCCAACCCTAGCTGAATTTTTCATATTGGGTTTGGGGCCTTCGGGCTAACCCAGCCCAAGTTACCCCATGTGGGATTGGCAGAAATTGATGCAACTATCAAGGCCTTATTTGGTTTATTGTCATGGACCTGCTTTTCTAGATTGAAACTCGTCAGAACGACTTGGCTATTACCTTGATGAAATTAGTTACATTATTTTATAATAAGATAGACTCTGTATTTGAGCAACATTACAAAGAGTACTTTGCCAAAGTAATTTACCCAAACTATCAATCTTTGATATGCTTCTACACCGGGGCGCATTGACATTACATGGAATCGACATGGTTTCTATTAATTTGAAATACGAGTGAACAGGTGTATCACGTAATATTTAATACCCCTTATCTTCCATCACATGCTTCCATTTCAAGTATGTGTTTGATATACTTTTTATTTATTAAATAAATGTTTGTATTTTATTTGTTTTTAAAACTGAGAAAGTATTTGATAAATTGTTTATTGATAATTAGGCACTATTAGGTGCTACATCAACGGTTGAATGAGTAAATGTTCAACCATTGGGGCAAGTGTTAAAATGAAGCTTCCCCCAATGGTTGGTGTGCACATAAATCAAACTCACTTTTGTGAATATCAATGCATACAGATGAACATGATGAGAAAAATGTTGATTTGGCGATAACATGATAGTGTTTGGATAAACGCCTATCACGAAATATCTACGGAACAAAACACATGCCTATTCTTTACAAAAGAACCATCGGTGTGGTAGCAGATGTTGGATTACTTCCTCCAGTTGACCTCTAGTATATTACTCATTCAATTAAACAAAAGAAATCTTTCAGAAGAAAGAACCCAAAGGAATTTCCAAAATATTGGCCTTCAGCCTCTATACTGTGATTCGTGTCCTCAACTCAAGCAGGAATGACAATCTTGACCCCAACCCGTTCTATTGGTAGGTCAATATGGGTCGAGCAACCCATTAAGGTCAATGGAAAATGGTCAAGGTGGGTTGGGTCAAGGGCACCCATTAGGGTTAGGATGGGTTGGGTTGACGATTACGCCAAGTCTCATAAAAAATGTATTTAAAGTGACTCAAATTCAAGGCCACCTAATGCATCCACATCTTGTAACAATTCCAAGCCACTAAAGCACATTTCATTTCATGTTTAAAAGTGAAATAAAATAGATTTTATTAACTTTTCTTTTCACATGCAATTTAAACAAAAAGCATATATTTATATTTAACAACTCTAACTAAAAATTTAAAAATAATATTAAAAAATTATTTTATAAACTAAAAGAATAAATAATCTATCAAATCTATATTTATATAAAAAGATGATTTTTAATATCAAAAAAATTATATAAATAGAATATTAATAATAGAATAATTATTTTAATACTTAAAATTTATAAATTCGCACATGATATAAATCTTAAATTTTTTATATATTTTTTATAAATTATTAACTATTATTTTAATATACATTAATAAGTAATAACAAAATATTTATTATTTACAAAAAATAAAAATATTATATAAAATCATTGAAGAATATAATATTAAATTGAGTATATAAAATCCACTAATCTACATTTATTTAAAAAATGACTTTTATTTCATCAAATTTCTAGAAATAAAAATATTAATAATGGAGTATTTATTTTAGTAATTAAAAACTATGAATTTTTATATGATATGCATTTTAGAAATTTTAACAAATTTGATATACTCTAAGTTAAGATTATATTTTTATAAATAATTAATTGATATTTTAATTTGAGTTGCTTTTTTGTTAATTTAAAAAATTAAAATAGTAAAATAAAATAATAATTGATATAATAATTAAAATATAATAGGCGCATATATTTTGTTTTTTGGTAATAGGTGGATATGTTTAGTGTCTTGGACTCTTCATTGATTCATTATAACTGAAATTATATGTTATCTACCCATCCCAATATATTAATTGTAATATATTTCTTCATATATCATTAAAATTTACCTTTTCTATGTATTTATATACTATTTTGTGATTATTTTGATCTTAAATTTAGTATTATTAATGTATTTATTAAAATTTACGTTTCCATATTTTATGTCTGCATCCATGCATTTACAAAGCATATCCATATTCGAGTTATTTGATATGATACCCAATACCTAATACCAATACTTTATTCCTTGGTTTTAGTAATTCAAAAGACTTTCTTCAGGTCGAGGGTTTCTGAGTAAAGGTCGAGGCTTCCTCCTACCATTTTATACCATATTTTTATGGTATGTTTTCATGTTTTTTGGTGTTTTCATGCATTTTTATTTTTTGTTTTTTTTTTGCATTTTTCTAGTATTTTTGCAAAAGTTATGCATCTTTTTTTTGCAATTTTTTGCTATTCTCTACATTTTCTATAATTTTTGGTATTTTTCTGCATGTTTGCAATTTCTGGTATTTTTTTGCATTTTTGAAATTTCTAGTATTTGTTGCATTGTTTTGCAATTTTCTAGTATTTTTTCTACATTTTCTACTATTTTCCTGCATTTTCTTTAATTTTCTGGTATTTTCTACATTATTTCTATATTTTTTTTTGTATTTTTCTGTACTAGTAATTAAGCATGTGAGCGCATGAACTTTTTTTCATATTAATTACTTGAATTTTAGATATATCATAGTTAAGATAGAAATTGAAAATTAATAAAAGTAACAATATGGTTAAAAATAAACTTAAATACTTGTACTAAATGTGCACCTACAGAAATTTTAAATTACAATAACAATTATTATTATTATTATTATTATTAGTGTTATTACATACTTTTTATCTTTTGTGTTCTATCTTTTTTTTTAATATTTATTATTAAATTTTGACATCATGAATTTCTTTGAAAAGTTAGATTATTGACACGCCATTTAAATAAGAAAATAGCTATGCTTTTGGATCAATTTTAAATTATATATTTCATCTACATTATATACACAATTTTTACTTACCACAATTAATTTTTGTTTGACATAATTAATATATAATTTTTTATATATTTTTTTGATTACTTGTACTTTTTTATTATTTTTAAATATTTATTATTTAACTTTAATATTATTGATTAATCCATTTGACCCAAACCACTAACCCACGACCAAAAAGAAAAATAGTTTAATTTCTAGGTTGACATTAAATTTTGTATTACATTTATATTATTGATAA